TAAAGGGGTTGGTTCTGTGAGTGGCTTGTACTGGATGAGAAGGGCTGACCTGCGATGACCGGCGTTGACCAGCGATGAGAGGGCGCTGGCATGTGTGGTTGGGAGTAAGAGGCAGCTGGGGGCGCCCCTTGCTGCAGGAAACACGTCCTTCCCCCAGTTTGTGAAAGTTCTGGTTCTATGAGGGTCTTGGGCTGACTGGGCGCTGGCGTTGACCAGCATTGACCAGCATTGACCAGCGACGGGGTTGCTGAGATGTGTTGCTGGCACTTGGTGCGGTGCTAATTCTGACCAGCATTGAGCAGAGATTTTAGGGGACAGGTGTGTGAGTGGCGAGGCACAGACAGCCACAGGAAGTTCAGGTAGAACCCCTGTGAAGAGATGGTGCGGATGGTGTGTGACATGGAAGATGAATGATAGGGAGGATGGGCGGCAGGGAGGATGGGCAGCAGGGAGGTTGGGCGGCAGGGAGGTTGGGCGGCAGGGAGGATTACGTGGGGATTGGCAGGCCCTGTAGTCCTCTCCTGTGGGCAGTGGATGTAAGACTGTAAGGTGGTATGGTGTTGCGTATAAGGTGGTAAGGTGGTTCATAAAGGGTTGGGGTACAAGGTGGTGGTAAAGAGTGTGAGAGGTGAAGGTACACAACGTTTTAGAAGGTGATGGGGACAATGGTTGGCAGGGAGGATGGGCGGCAGGGGAGGGTGGTTTTCAGAGAGTTAAGGGGTACAGGCCGGTGGGTGGTGGTAAAAACGATGGGATAGGTGGAGGTACGTAACGTTTTGTATAATTTGTGAGTTTGTACAGGAAGCACGGGGATGTGAAGAATTGAAGACTCGAGCAAGGAGCTCTTGAGTGAGAGTGGTGACTCATAATTGTCTCTCTGTACTGTAGTGTAGTGTGCATATTTTGGTGGTGATTGAATATAAACAAAATAGTATAGCCAATGCATAGAACATTGAAGGGTCGAAGTTAGTAGTGGCAGGGTTATCGCCAGAATGAGAAGGCCTTCAGTAGTTGAAACAGGCGGGACTTTAACTTGTAAATATGTATTCGGTGGTAAATGCTTTTGTGAGGTTAGATAGACAGACAAACATATGATCACGTGGAGACGCGTGTCTTCAGAAACAAGGCATTGATGTGTAATACCAAAAATTGTCCGCAGGGCATAAATTGCGATTGGGTATTCAGTCCAATGCCTGTTGTTCAATGAAACTCTTGATGTTGGTTAGCATATATGCATCGTTTTGCTACTTGTATTAGAAGCAATTTCTAATGCATAACGTACTCGATTTGGACTAGGGATATGCAGAATAGGTGATACACCCATACTGAATTTCGGACTTGCTCGAGGAGATCGAGCCGCGATTTTGTGGGTTCGGGGCAGGTCCCGAATGTACTTCTGAATGCGGCTCAGCGCTTTATTGTACGATTTAGAGCAGTCTATTTAATCGTACACTGGAAAACGTGTTTTCCACCCCCTGCATCGAACACCTTCCAGGAAATCGAGTCGCGAAACCATTGGACATTGACATTTCGGGGAAATGCTTTCTCCCTGTGCCGAGAAGAAAAGAAAGGAAAAGAATCGTGACATTCATGAAACAAACACACGTCCCCAGCACTGCAAGTGTTTGAGCACCCATCCTCAGAGGTATAAATGACTACTCTCATCGCTTCTTATCAGCATTCCTTCCTCCCTCGGTCGTCACCCATCCTGTTCGCACCTGTTTTAAATCCCGTTTCTGATCACTCCACGTCCGCATTTAACAGTATTCATATATATCCCTGTTAATGTTTCCGCCTTGAAGTACCCCAGCCTCTCCAACAGCCCGTCTAAATGGCAAAACTCACGGGAAACGTCTCCCTGCTGCTCGTTGTCCTCTCCCTCGTCTGCCTCTCGCCTCTCCCTCTCGCATCCGCCGGTGCGCCGCTTACTAGTAAGCAACGCATTGCGCGCACGCCCCGGGCGCACGAAGAGCACCGCCGTCAGCGCCAGCTGACCGACATTGTCGGCCGTGGCGCGACCACGCGTGTGCACACGTCTGAAGATCCAAGCGCTCCAATAACATACGGAGGAGGGCCTGTGATGACCGGAAACCCGTCCATCAACGTGTACATCACCTACTACGGCAGCTGGCCGGCAGGATCGGGGCAGAAAATAATCGAGAATTTCATTAGATCGCTGAGCGCGGACTCGCAGCGGCAGGGGAGTCCCGCGGATCCCAAGGTGAAGCGCTGGTGGGCGATCAGTGCGGCTTACACGCAGGAGGAAGAGGACGGCACAAAGACGAACGTTAGGAAGGTATGTTGCACATTTGCCACTACTCCCTCCCATAACTTTGCCACAACACCCCTCCCATAAAGCGCCTCGTCTCTCTCTATCAACTTAATGAAATGCAAATTATTTTGCATTCGTTTCATTCCAGGTGCGCCTCGCCAGGACTGTCCGTGACAACTACTCGGCGGGAAAGGATTTTGGCAAAGACACGGTTTGGGAAGGTACGCAGCACGGCAAAACCATTTCGCGGCCTCTTCCAGCATTTCGCAGCATTCCACCACTCCACCTCTTCCAGCATGATGATACCTGCCGTTGAGCAACTATGCACTGCCGTAAGCAAGTCAGGATACGTTTCTGTCACAATCTGAACTATTAAAAAGCCCTCCTCTTGTTGCAGTTCTTTCCAACAAGATTGGCGCTGGAAAGCCGTTTCCGTACGACGCGAGTGGCATCTACCTGCTTCTTTCCAGCAAGGATGTCACCGTCCCGGGTTTCTGTACCGAGTATATGGGGTGGCACAGCATGGGCTACATCGATTCCGAATCGCCGGTTGTATTCTCGTCATCCCAAAAATGCATGGAAGCTTAACCTACTTCGAAGCTAATTGGTAGTTACTTTGTGGTTGGTGTTACTGGCGAACATACTGAATCACGGGATGCGAGGCTTGGGGCCTCCCGAACGTAAACCTTCTGGAAAGTTACTTGCAGGCTGGAACGAATGTGTTATCGGCGAAAGGCCCGATCAGTTGGGAAGTCTCACGAGAAGGTGTAACTCAGCATGAGCGAACGGCTTCGTCGCATTTCATTTGTTCGTGATTTCTATCAGCAGTGATTGCGATCGTTTTCATTGGTTGAAATCAATGTAGGTTGACGGCCGCGCCTAATCACAGCATTTCGCGCGTAATAGTGTCAGTCGGCTCTGGCGTTTTGTTATTAGTGTTGGGTTTGGGAGAGAATAGCTCATGTCAGTTGATGTCAAATCCCTCGCGTTATCTCAGCCGTCCTATATTCGACAGGTGTTTGAAATTTGAGAGTTTGCTCCACACATTTCGGAATGTACATGGTCACGTGGACGTTCAGACGAACGCCACTTTGGCAAGAAAGTAGTGGTGAATAACTTACCACAATTCGTAACAGTTACGTTGTTTCTTGTCGCGTTACATTTGACAGTTGGTGCACTTCCATATAGGCATATATCAAAATGTAAATCATAACCTACAAATGAAATATTCATTTTGTATTACTATGAATTGGTATTTAGAAATTAGATACTGATTATAATTTTTATTGGTAATTAGATATTATTAAAAGCTAATTACAAATTAGGTCTAAAAACAACAATTAACAGAAACTACAAACACGTGCACAAAAGGACACACTCACACAAACTACAGCAAACTACCTAGATTTGGGCCGACACACACACACTTGCACTCTACGCGTTAGGCACTCATACACTGCAACCGTCTTAACATTAGGGGCCCTGCAATCCCGGCAGCCCCTCGCAACTGATGAAGACCCTCTGCGTTGCCTCGTTAAACTTCCACGCTTTGTACTCAGGCTGCCACCAAGGACCCGTCGCAGGAGTCCGGTTCTGAACAGCAAAATCTACGGCGTTGTGCACGTTGGAATGGTAGATCGCAAGAGCACGCTTGTTGTCAACTGAGCTGCGCGACATCTCTTCGTTCTTCAGGAGCTATTTCAACCTGCAGCACCAATAAGGGGATCCTTAGAGCAACGACAGAAATGGCAAACATTCTCATGCATGCTTAAAATATTTACATACCCCTAGCAGGAAGAAGGCGATCTGCTTGAAACGGAGGACTAAGACGGCATGCCCCGGCCTCTCAAACGAGTGGAAAATCGCAAGGGTGAAAAAGTCAGAGGCGAAAGGCATCCCCAGTCGATTATGATGCCACGTCAACAAGTCCCACGAAAGAGCACCTATAGGGTGCGGAAGGTTGGAAGGGTGTGGGTGTTGAGGTCAGGATGGGAGAGAGTTGTGAAATCAATTGAATGTTCATTGCATCCCACGCCCACAGCAGTGCAGCGGGCTGTCTGCGGGGGGGATGGTGAGCACAGGCATGTGGGCGGTGGGTGGGGAATCAAGTGGTGGGAGGGGAGTGTTTGAATCATTGTGGCCTTGCATCCCACGCCCACAACAATGCAACAAGCTGCCTGCAGCATACGGTGAGCACAGGCAGTGAGCACAAAGGGGTGGGATCCAGTTGTGGGAGGGGGGTTTACTCCACCTAGCATCTCACGCCCACAGCAGTGCACCGGGCTGCCTGCAGGGGGATGGTCAGCACAGACAGTGGGAATTGGGTGGGGATCAATTGGTGGGAGGGGAGTTTAACTAAAGGCACGCTGCCTTGCATCCCACGGCCACAGCAGAGCACCGGGCTGCCTGCATGGGGATGGTGAGCACAGGCAGTGGGACTTGGGTGGGGATCAATTGGTGGGAGGGGAGTTTAACTAAGGGCACGCCGCATTGCATCCCACGGCCACAGCAGAGAACTGGGCTGCCTGCATGGGGATGGTGAGCACAGGCAGTGGGAATTGGGTGGGGATCAATTGGTGGGAGGGGAGTTTAACTAAAGGCACGCCGCCTTGCATCCCACGCCCACAGCAGTGCACCGGGCTGCCTGCATGGGGATGGTGGGCTGGGGAAAATGGTATTGGAAGATGCAAGGTAAGAGTCGACGGGAAAACCGAGATGCAATGACAGCCTAACTGCCATCTGCTCGCCAGGGTTTGAGCGGTCTGTTGGGGAATGGTGTAGCCATCATCTTACTAGCAGGGTAGGAGGCACAGAACACCGCAGGCGACAGCGTTCCGCTCTCGGCCCGGTTGTGGTCCGGACGTTTGATGCGAATGTCGAATCTTTCGTACAGCAAGACACGGCCCGTGGTGAGGGTCTTGTTCCTCGCATCCTGAAGCTTCTTTCGAAGGTGCCTAGGCCGAGCAGTTTCGTTCTCCATGACGAGGCGCAGGTTAGCCACTCCCTCAGGATCTGTGATGTTTAGAGCCGTGCAAAGGGCGGTGATGTTGGTGTCACGCGGCGTCCAATACTCCAGGTCCACATCCGAAGTTTCGAAGTAAAGGATCTCCACAGCTCGAGTCGCGGCCCCCTGACACGGGAACATGGGGGGTGATAGGTGGTTAGAGGGATTACTTGGGGGATAACAACGCACTGGCAGCAGAAATGGCGCATGTAATAACCTGCAAATGGGCGGTCTGACATGGGTATGGAGTCAATGGTGGGTCCCAATGGGTGAAAACAGCACTAGAAGTCCGTTGCCTGCGTCAAGGACCATACAAACGGTATGGCAGTAGGATGTCATGCACTGGGTGGGGAGTGGGACATGGTTGGGACATTACCTTGAACCCATTGTGGATATCTGGCATGCTGGCCAACGCGTCAGCGTACCGATGCGCCCACGTCCGCTGCATGCTCGACAGTTGCTGCAAGTCCAAAATAGTTCCCCGGCTGTGGGCCGTCCTGACCGCATTTATGATAGCCACCCGATTCGGTTCCACGAGTAGAGTTGTCGGGAACGACGCCTGGAGCGTGTTTCCTGCCACGCCATTAGGAGTAGGCGCGCTCGGACCAGCCGCTGCAGCACCACTACCAGCCGCTGCAGCACCACTTCCAGCCGCTGTAGCACCAGGACCAGCCGCTCCCATACCGTGAGCATCAGCATCACCTAAGGAGTTGCCAGGGTTGCTCGCTTCGTCCGGAGCGTCTTCACTGGTATGGTTAGCAACACCGTGCGACAGGCGACGGTTCTCATTTTTCAGCTTCCATAAGGCGGCGGCGCAGCTCACGTGCCTCAGCCTGAGCAGCATCGAACTCTTCCCGGGAGATAAGGTCCACTCCTTGTCCCGCTTCCTCATCGGCATCACTATACTCATCTAGCCCCTCGTAACCAGGCTCAGGTACCTGAGGTTCCATCTCCGGAAAAGCTTCAGGGTCTAGGGGCTGCATGTAGTCAGTCGGGGCGCCATCATCCCCATGCCCAGTAGAAGGGATATGCAGACCCTCGGGTTGCATCGGTGCCTGCTGTTGTTGCTGCTGCTGCACATGCGGCGAAGATGGCACATCCGCGGGCAGCTGCTGCTGCTGCTGCCCATACGGTGAGGCATGCAGATCCGTGGCGGTCTGCTGCTGCTGCTGCTGCCCATACGGTGAGGCATGCAGATCCGTGGCGGGCTGCTGCTGCTGCTCCTGCAGTCCATTAGTCGAGGTTTGCAGACCCGTGGTGGTCTGCAACTGCTGCTGCTGATGTCCAATGGTTGGGGTGACGCGAGAAGAGTTGGGCAGCTGCTGCAGCTGCAGTCCAGTGGTTGGCGTGGCACGAGGAGAGTTCCGCAGCTGCTGCTGCTGCTGCTGCTGCTGACCAGTGGTGGTCTGCAGCTACTGCTGCTGCTGCTGTCCAATGGTTGGGGTGACGCGAGCAGAGTTCCGCTGCTCCTGCTGCTGCTGTCTAGATGTTGGCGTGGCGCGAGCAGAGTTGGCCCGCAGCTGCTGTTGATTCGAGCCTCTGCGAACCGTCGTGCGGCAAGGACCCGTCCGGCGGCCCCCAGTCGTCCCAGTTGTACTCGCCGGGTTGTGAAGTCCTCCCATGGACAGCTGGTTGAGTGGAAGGGTTCTCTCGCCTGCACATCATCAAAACACACATGCTTAGTATCCAGCACCGTAGGCTTTTGACGTACAACAAACCAAACTCTCGCGGAAATCAGCTTACAAGTACTAAGTGAAACGTCTTGGATAGTGCTTACCATTGCTGGTTGTTGTCGCCGCCGTTGCCTGCACAGATTCTTCACGATCCCCTTCTCCTAGAGCACGAACTGAGGCCAACACGGATGAGTACCGGTTATTTGTCCCTCTACCAGGTCTATCAAACCGGCGCGCTTCGGCTGTATCCATGGTCGATCTAACACGACATCTAAAACGGTAAGAAACATACTATCAGTATGTTTCAACGTGTCTTTTATAGTCGCCAAGCCATCACCAGCAATGTATCTATCCGTCGCCAGGTTTGCGGACGCACCGCTCATAAGCTCGAGTGGTTCTCTGCGGTTCTCAAAGCGCTCGTGCTGCTGCGTGCTAACCTTCGAATTTCGAACTTTGAAAACGGGTCATCTCAGCTCTCAGGCCCTCTACGGTTGTGTCAAGCTTGAGATACGTGCGTGGGTAAATCGGCGACCGCACGAGATACGAGCAGATGCGACGAGGGTGTCGTTGATACGGAGGTAAAAACGATGGTCCAGGTTCTTACCTGTAGAGCCCTCGAGATAATGTCGCAAGCGGGGAAATTGTTACACCAGCCTGCTTGTGATTGGCGAGAAACAAGCGCAGCGCAGGGTCGATTTGCAGTCCAGTTACAGAAACGGGCTGGTATCTCGTGTCGCAAGTTCATCCCCACCGAACAAGCATGATAGATACAATGGCGCGGAAGCAGGGGAGGGTCACGACGTGTGCCAGCTGGACAGGTTCTCAGTCAGCCGACCAGTAGCTGGGGGGAACGACGACGGCGGTCGCTACCACGGGCAAGAGGGAGCGACGCTGTATGGTCAGGGCATGCTTGCGTGACGCTTGTATCGCGGGGCATCGGCGCGGGGAGCCCACGCCAGCTGGCTCCCCCGCCCAGATAACGCTATGGGCTCGTGTGTCTGGCAAGGCGTCGCGGGTTTCATTTCCTACCCTAGTCAGCACAGGAAGAGTCGGGTTTCTTCCAGCAGAGGGAGTTGGAGGAACTCGATGGGCTGCAACAATTAGACACACGAGTGTCGCGCGGATTGAGGCAAGGTGCCTAGATTTCGTTTTAACATAACAGTGGTTAAAATCTGATCTTTAAGAGTTAAAAACACTTGACAACATATCAAATAGGTGTTCAATCACGATTTCAGGTAAAGGTATGCGCATACGCATCAACACAAACAATAGGATTATGAGGTTGGTCACATAAAGTCGAAATTTGGTTACCTATTGTGTGACCAGCATCGTAGTTTCAATTGGGCTGAACGCCCTAGGATCTTTGGTAGAGTTAAAGTCTGAGTAAACGATGTGGTAGCGGAAGCGTTTTTGAGTTAAGTCCTTGAACCACCTTGCGCTGGTATGTGAGGGCAAAATAAGTTGATTAAAGCAAAGAGATACAAGAGTATATATATGAATACAGAGAATATGAAGAGACGTAATTGTAACTACTTTACTGTTGCGGTTCGATACAGTGCGACTCGGGCAACTGCTCAATGTCGAGTCAGTTGTGTCTCCTTGCTGTCGCGATGCATTAGGTCAAAGGTCGCTGACCTTTGAATTTCGCGTAACCTCCAGCGGTTACATCAACCTCCGAGAGTTGACTCGCTGGTGCTTCGATTTGCGCTGCTTCGCTATGCACTGCTTCGCTTGTGTCTTGGAGTTTTGACACGACAGAGGCGCTTAAGACTATTTGTTCCCAACACTCCCCTTCGCTTCTGGAGTGTCGCTGATGGTGACGTGGCTTTGTCCAGTCAGCAACATGCAGTAATCGAACTTCTGTTTTCCGAGCTTCTTGGTCAAGTAGTCAGCTGCCATCTCGGACGTGGGACAGAAGGATAGTTCGAGTTTCCCCTTCTCGATCTCGTCTTTCACGAAGAAACATCGCAGTGCGATATGCATCGTTCTGCTCGCGAATCCGCTTTTGTTGGCGATGCGAATCGCAGATTGGTTGTCGCAGAACAGAGTAAAGTTGGGTAACTCGGCTAACTTCGCTTCTTGCAGCAACTCGCGAAGATAGAGTCCTTCCTTGGTGGCTGAGTAGTGTGCGATATATTCTGCTTCAGCTGATAAGAGAGTGATTAGTTCCTGCTTGCTTGATTGCCAGGAGATTTTCTTTGTTTCCTTGGAATGGACGTCGAAGATTTTCCACGCGTTGTAGTTCTTTTCACTGCCGAGGTGTAGTCCCCACTGTGCGCGTTGTGAAAATCTTCCCGCTCGTACTTCTGGGGGTCGGTACTGTACCATGCACCCGAAAACTCGTATCATTTTTGTGCTGCCCTGTTTCCCTGTTAAAACAGATGCGTTGATGCATTGTTCGGAAGTGAAGACGACGACCTCAAGTTGTGCAGCATGACAGCGTGGTCCATTGCTGCAGGCCACTGGTGGTTGGGTAGTCGCGTGCCACGTAACAGTTTGCGCATGCTGTTCTGCAGGGTCCTGTTCATTCTTTCTGCGACACCTTGCTGCTGATGGGCGTAGGGAAGGTAGAGGAGCTGCTTGATTCCTCTTTCTGCCAGGTACTGCTTGAACCGCTGAGAGGTGTATTCTCCCCCTCCGTCTGACTGGAAGCTTTTCAGTTGTGCTCCCGACTCTCTCTCTGCTACTGGTAGCCTGGCAGCGAAGGCTGCGAGTGCCATGTCGCGGCTGGGTAGGTTTAGGTGCCAGACGTATCGAGTGGCGGCGTCGATGAAGATGATCGTGTAGTTATATGTAACTTGTCCTGGTTCTCGATTGAAGAGGATATCGCTGTACACTTTCTCAAGTGGTGCGTACGCGGGTGCGCTCGGGTTGTGATGAGGAGTGAACGGTCGGTGTGGTAAGGCGGCTTCGGGGCAGGTAAGGCAAGTTCCTCGTGCCCGTTGAAATTCTCTGCCATCGGGTAGTAGTAATGAGTCCTTGTCAAGGACTCCTGCTCTTATTGTGTTGTTTAACACAGTGTTGCTTGCATGTCCCATGCGTGCGTGCCAGATGTCTTCGGAGGCGCGGTGTCCGGGAGAGCGTCGATACGCGTCGGAGTTGGAGTAGAAGCTGGTGACGAAGTTTGCGCTTCTGTGGACTTGTCGTTGAGTTGGATTCAACTGCTGTGCGGGTGTTGGTGGTGCTTCGTCAACGAGGACTGGTGTCGTTGTTCCTGCTGCTGCTGACGATGTTTTTGCTGCTGCCGATGTTGTCTCTGCTGCTGCCGATGTTGTTTCTGCTGCTGCCGATGTTGTCTCTACTGCTGCCGATGTTGTTTCTGCTGCTGCTGAATGTTGTATTGTTACTAACGCACGCGTTCGTTCTGCTTCAGGGATGGTATGTGAATACCATAAGCCTTCCGGACTGAAGTCGGGGTCGAGATCCGGAGGATGTGTCCAGTCGGTGAAGTTCACGATGGCGTCGCTATCGGCAGTGCCAAGATCGGAACGAAGTCAAGAACGAAGACGTTGTTCTTGAGGATCGCCCTACCGATGTAGAGTCCTCCTCTCCCGTGGTACAGCTTGAATTCTTGGGTGGTACTGTCTGCTTCGAGATGAATACCCTTCGACATCTACTGGCTTACGCTCAGTAGGTTGTAGCCGAGGCCTTCTGCTATTAGGACTTTTGACATTTGTAGTACGACATTCGTATCCCGTGACTGAAGTTGCACTATGCCTTTTCGTCTTGTGCGCAGGTTCTGATTATTGGCGACAGTGATGACGACTTCTCGTTGGAGTTGGTGCTCGCATTGAAAGAAACGTCCTGAGGAGCACATGTAATGTCCGCAGCAACTGTCCAAGAACCAAGTGTCCTTCCCGGACGGCTCTCTTTGGGCGATGGCGGCGTACGTCGGGTTTGGTTGAAGTGACTCGCGGCGAGGCGTGCTGTTGTTGAGTTGTTCTTTTGGTGAGTAGTATGGTGGTGACTCGGTTGTGCATGAGTCATTCAATCTTGCCATGCAGCTGACGATATTTCTTGTTTCTTTTGCAGGTTGTCTTGTTGGAGTTGTTGAGACTTGGACTGAAGTTGTCGGGTTTGCTTGCGTTGAAGTGACTTGGCTGCTTAAAGGACGAAGTTGGCATTGTCGATTTGGGCAGTGTGCGCGAGGATGCCCTAAAGTTTTGCATATGTGGCAAAACGGAGGTACCGGCTTCAATTGTTGCTGCCGATTGTTGATGTTGTTGTAGCGTCGCTGGGTGTGAAACGCGAACTCTGGTGGTGACGTCTTTTTTTTATGTCGTTCTTCTTGCAGGTCCATGTCTTGCTGCTCGGCATGGATTTCGGCGCAGAGTGCTGCTTTGGAGATTCTCTCGTGAGCTCGGAGGATGGCCTTGGTGGCGCGCCATTGAGGACCGAGGCCACCGATGATGACTGTCACGAAGGCGTCTTCACAGATGACAACATTGCGAATTTGGCTGATCAGATGGTTTAGGGAGATGGGCAAACATGAATCTAAAACAACCAGCTATGGAGTGATGTAATGTACGCACATGTGAAACCCACGTCTACTCCTCTAACAACCTCGGTGTAACAGACGGTAGCGATGGTGCGTCAGGACGATGACAGCGCGCCATTGACAGAGCCCTACACCATCCTGCGAAATCCCCTCCTGTGGGAGGCTTCGTCGCTGCGCATAACAAAGCTATACAGGGTACCGTGCAATGATAGACTGGGAACGCACGAGAGTTGTCGAATGATGTCCCGGTGGTTGTCGCACACGTATTTGAGAGCATAGATCCCTTAAACACGCTCTAACGAGGCTACCATCCACGTGCGCAGAACAAAGCTATACAGGGAACCGTGCAAGGACAGGTTGGGAACGCACGAGTGGTGTCGAATGCCGTCCCGGTGATTGTCGGACACGTATTTGAGAGCATGGATCCATTACACATGCTCTCACAGGGCTACCATCTACGTATCGTGTCATTCGAACAACGTGAGAGCCTTCGTCGCTGTGCGGAACAAAGCTATACATGGAACCGTGCAAGGATAGGGTGGGAAACGAATGAGAGTTGTCGAATGACGTCTCGGCGATTGTCGCACACGTATTTTAGAGCATGGATCCCATACACATGTTATAGCAGGTTCAGTTTCTACCCGTGAGACTATGTTATACAACGTGTCACTTTTTGCAAAAAAGTAGAACAAGGCAATCGACCAAGGGTAGGCAGAGTTACAACGTTAACCATGAAAAGATAGTTAGTGTTTCACATTCTAACCTGTTTAGCACAAGGCTGGTTATTAGAGTGGATTCAATATCAACATTAACCAATCAGATTTATATGTGTGGGGATAATGTTCTTGGTCCTTGAATTCACCAATAATGACGATACATTCTTGTTGTTGTTCCATGTGGTGTTGATGTTGTCCTTTGTGATTGTGTGGTTGTCCTTTGTTGGAGGTCCTTGGTGTGTTAGACTCCAACAAAACTGTTTCATAGTAGTGGTTTGGAGCTCTAGAGAACAATGACAACATGCCTCCCTAGGTCTAATTGTGGTGGTGTTGTTTTATGAGTTGTTTTTGTTCTTTGTGGTGGTCTTGTTGTCCTTTGTTGGATGTCCTTGGTGTGTTGGTGGGGAGCAATACTGTAGCATAGTAATGGTTTGGAGCTCTAGAGAACAATGACAACATGCACCCCTAGGTCTAGTTGTGGTGTTGTTGTTGTATGAGGTGTTGTTTTTGTTCTTTGTGGTGGTCTTGTTGTCCTTTGTTGGATGTCCTTGGTGTGTTGGTGGGGAGCAATACTGTAGCATAGTAATGGTTTGGAGCTCTAGAGAACAATGACAACATGCACCCCTAGGTCTAGTTGTGGTGTTGTTGTTGTATGAGGTGTTGTTTTTGTTCTTTGTGGTGGTCTTGTTGTCCTTTGTTGGATGTCCTTGGTGTGTTGGTGGG